TTGTGATTTCTGAAGATCTCATTGCAAGGCTAATCGGTCACAGTGGTGGTGGCGTCCGTTGTGTGGACATGGCTAAAAGATGTGCTGATATATGTGTGGTAGCTGACAAGATTTTCACTCTTGGGATGCCCAGCAGCAAGATTAAAGATCTGAAGGATCATTGCAGAGTGTGGGCTAAGATTATTCTGGGGTGCTTCAACCACAGGAAACCAACCAGTTCTCCTGATTACATAAATGTGGATCAGCAGTTTCTGATCTACTTTATTGATCAGAAGGTAAAGATCAATCTGGCTCACTTCCTGTTCAACCACCTCAGAGCAAGTGTGAAAGAAACAAGGGAAGAAGAAAGAACCAAGAGGGATTGGATACCTTTTGGAAGGTTGATATCAGATATTCTGACAGAGAATAGGTTGATTGAGCATCTGATAGAAGCTCAAGAGCTAAGCATTATTGAACCAACAATTGGGAAACCTCTGAACGCAAAGAACCTGAAAAAGATGAAGCTGATAGAGAATATTCAGAAGGAACCCAGAGCTACTCCCCTTGCTGATATCTCCAGCAGAAGAGTGCCTCTGAGTGACTTTCCGTTATTTTCTGAAATTGAATCCAAACCAGAGGTGATTCTCAGGTACTTGGATGCGTGCAAGGCAGATGGTACAGATCCAAAGCTGAATATCAGAGATCTGCATCAACCTCAACCAGAAGTGACTCTGAAGAAGACCAAGAAGAGGAAGGCGCCATCAGAAGGATCATCTCAGCAGACTCCCAAGAAAAGAGGTAATTCATCTGCTGCCCCTGTTTTAAATTCTTCTACTATTCCAGCATCTATCCCTCCTCAAACCTCTCATAGAATCTCAATCCCCATCCCTACCATAGATGAAACTGTACAAGAAGAAGACCCTTCTGAGGCATTAAAACTCAGAAGACCCAGAACCAAACACCCCAAACAACCAACAATTTCAACAACATCAGCACTTAACCAAGTGCTGTTTGATATTGATCAACATACCTCTGATCAACCAAACTCTGAACCACAAAATGTTCCTCCTCCACAACCAGAACAACAGCAATCTGCTGCAGAACCAGAACAACAACAACCACTCTCAGAAGAACCTCTGATCCCTGAGCAATCAGAGATTCCAACTCCCTCTCCCCAACCAGAAATTAATCCACCATCACCACAAACAGAGATTCATCACTCTGAAACTCTTTCCCCTCACCAATCTGAACCTCATTCACCTCAACCATCACCGATGGCAATCCAGCTGCCATGTGGAACAACCGTTATCATGCCCCAGTTACCATCCTCATCAGAATCGACACCACCAAATACTCCCAAAACACCACCCACTCCAATCGTAATATCTGACTCTGATACTCCTTCTCCAAAACAAACAGCCTCTCAGAAAACCTCTGAAAACCCCAGCAGGACCTTCATAGACTTAACCAGTCTTGACCGTCTTGCTGATCTGAAACACAAAATTGCCATCCCAAAACCAAAGCAACCAGATGTTGGCTCTGGTATTATGAATTTTGAAACAGGTGTGCTGCAATGGATTGCTTCTTTGAAGCAAGTCTGTCCTGGAATGATTGACCCAGCTGCTTCTGATCAGCTCTGGTCACAATTCAGACTTTGGGTACGTGCTGAAGCCCTCAAGTTGCAGGATATCAACTATGAGCAGGCACAACAAAATTTCAGCAAGCTTCTGAATGAAGTTGGAAGTCAGCTCCTGAAAGAGGACGTGCTCCCTCTGGACAGTGAACCCTGGTCTGAGAAACAGCAAGCTGCAAAGGTGCAATCATCAGAAGAAGACAATATCATTCAAGCTGAAGAAAGTCAAGCAGAGGATATTGCTGAAAGTTCTCAGAAGCCTCCTGTTTCTGATGCTCCTCAAGCTGCCTTGGACAGGCAGACTCTGGAAGAACTAAGGCTGAATGACATGCGTCTGCAACAGCGGATGGATGAAAGCGATCAGAAGATGAAAGAGAGAATGGATGTGCAGGACAGCAAGATTGACACTGTTGTCAGCATGGTGCATAAGCAGAATGAGACTGCTGAAAAGATCCAAGCCATGCTGGAGAACCTGTTCACACGCTTGCCTCCTCAACCTTAACTTTTTTTTCATGCATGACCTTTTTCATGTTTTCCTTGATTTTCTGATGCACTGATTGAATATGTTTTGTAATACTTTCTTGTTTTGATTCTGAACTATCTTAATATGATTAGTTTTTCTGATCTTAATTGTTTTAGCACATCACCAACACTTTTTGATTGCTGACAAAAAGGGGGAGAACAAGAATGATATTTTAATCAATAACGGCTGACTAGACAGAAATTCTCAAACATTCTAACTCTATTACTTGAAATGTTTTTCTTCTGTTTTGCTTAAAGTCTACAGGCACAAGGAAGCTCCTGGACACTCTGAAGACTAGAAGCTCTGATCACTATGAAGTTCTGATCCGCTCTAATATTCTGATCCAAAGCAAAGCTCTGACAAGATAAGCTCTGAAGCTCTGCTCTGACATAAAGCTTCTGATAAGTCAAAGACTCTGATACTCTGATGTTCAAAGAAAGGCAAAAAGATCTGATCCTGAAGAACACGTATAATCAAAGGGAAGTAATAAACTCAGGGGGAGTATCTCCTTACTCCTTATTCTTTTGCTTCTTATTCTGATACATGTTCCAGATACCTTTTCACGTTATTTTCATTTAAAAATATCTAGTTTTTGTCATCATCAAAAAGGGGGAGATTGTTAGAACAAAGTTTGAATCTACTACCCTATATTTGAGTTTTGATGATAACAAAGTGAAAAGATATAGTATTTATAAGTTTCATGTATGAACTATCTGCTGCCTAAAATTATTATGTTCTGACTTGCAGATACTCTGATTAAAATAAACAAGATCACATCTATTCAGCATCAGAACTTGATTTCAGACACCAGCATCAGAAGTTGCTATATCAGAATGTTAAAATCAGATGATCAACTCACGTACATGCTGAAGCCTGATGAATAAGACTGCACTCAACACTCTGATAAAGAAACACAATAGTTCATCAGCAGCGAAGCAGAGTCAGAATGAGCCAAGCCAGAACTTGCATTAAGTAAGCAACGGTACTGTGCATTGAAAGCAAATTAATTCCAACGGCCTCATTCCAGACAAGATCTGCTCAATAAGGAAAGCTTGTTATTAGCATTGAATCAAGAATATTGCATCCAACGCTCATCATCTCAGTGCTATATAAACAAGGCTTTGAAGATTGAAATGGCTAATGCTCTCCAAAATCTCTACACGCACAAAAGCTAAACCATAATCTTCGTTCTCTCAGTTTTGCTAAACCACACACTCTGATATTCTATTACTGTTTAGCAATCTAGTTTCTAAGCTTCAATTTGTGTATACATCACAGTTGTGATACAGTTTTGTAGAAAACATTCACACACATAGTTTTATCTCTTTGTAAGAAAGTGTTACCTTGACAAACCGGGTTGTGGTTTGAATCAAGAAGGCTTTAGCAGTTGTTAAAGCAGTCTGTAATATTCAGTTGAATATAGTGGATTAAGACCTCGTTGGAGAGAGGCGAAATCACCTTGACGGGTGGACTGGAGTAGTTTGAGATCAAACGAACCAGGATAAAAATATCTTGTTCATTGCATTAGATTTCAGTTTTACAATTCAACCCCCCCTTCTTGTGTTTTTCACCACTTCAGTCATGGCTAGGAAACCTGCATCAAATTGTTTCATCACTTCAGGTTTTATCTTTTCAGACACGTAAGGTCGCATGCGACGGACCTTTTGCTTAATAGAAGGACAATCTTCCTTCATTGGCAGACGATGAACCACAATGTTGGTATCCAACCCTGGCATATCTTCATACGACCAAGCAAACACTTCAACATAGTCATATAACATATGAACCAATCATCTTTTGATACCATTTTCTAGGTTGGCGCCGATCTTGACTTCTTTCCTGCCTGTCTCAGTACCTAGGTTGATAACTTCGTCTGGCTCTTCATGAGGCTGAATATCTTTCTCTTCTTGCATTAGAAGTCTGGCTAGCTCCCCTAGTATTTCATAATCTTCCTTGTCTTCATCTCCGACTTGGTTAATTGGATGTTCGAAGTTATAACTGGAAATAGTAGAGTCGTTGGCAATGAGATGTGGAGTGGATGGGGATCTGCAAGTATGTGTGTATGTGTGTGCATGTAAGATACATGGCTATTTTGAAAAATGAAATAAAGAAAGATAGTTAACACAAAATTTGAATGCAAAAGGTCTAATGGTTTATATTAAATGATCATATGATAAATGAACATGAACAAAACCCTTAACAAATGGACCATACACTACAACATTTAGGCTCTCCAGCAACAATTGAAAAACGTTACCAGAACTCTGAAAATCGTTGCCTAAAACAATAGGGGACGTTTTCTAGACGTCTCCTGTGCGAGCGTTGCCTATTGTTTTAGGCGACGTTTTTTTATGTTTTTTGGGAACGCTTTTGAAAAACGTCGCCTATAGTAAAGGAATAGGGGAGGATTATTTACGGCCTCTGAGACAATGTTTTTTAAGCGTTGCGTTGCCAAATTCGCCTACAATTAACAATCGTTGCCTTAAACCTGAATCAGGAAGATCGTTTTTGAAGTGTAGCCATAGCTTATAGGTTGTTGTTTTATAGTGTCCACATAAAATATACAATTTTGCAATTATTATCAAAATAATATAGTCAATAATAATTGGCTTCAAAAATAATATTGATTATATAACTTAAACCATACATCCATAAAAGTTGTAATATAATAAAATCGAGTTCAAACTTTAAGTCAAGATATAGTATATAGAGTACACAAAATGCCTAACGTAACAATATTACTTTTAATACTTTGAAGTATGACCCTAGTAAAATAACTAAAAACATAGTTCAGCAAAAGAACAAAAATCATATTTCAAGTTTAATGCTTTCAACTACAAGCCAAAAAAAAAGACATCATCCAACTCATTCAAGTTTGTCTTCTAGGAGTAAAGCATCCAGATCGTCCTCTTGAAATTCGTTAGATATGTCATCCTCCATAAATTCTTCATCTACGTCGTCCTCTTGAAATTCACCATTTATATCCTCCTCTTGAAATTCATCATCTAGATCTATGTCGTCCTCTTGAAATTCGTCATCTACGTCGTCCTCTTGAATTTTATCATTTAGGTCGTCCTCTTGAATTTTATCATTTATGTCGTCCTCTTGAATTTCATCATTTATATCGTCCTTTTCAACATCTTCATTGATACATTGCTGCATAAGAAAATAAAATAAAACACATTAACCATAAGTATTTTTGGTCCAAAGGACAATTAAGATATCAACAAGAATTAAACCTCGCACAAATAAAAACTAAACCAATGAGCAAAACACATTGTTTATATTCTTCACATCTCATGGATGTGAATTAATTATGAAGGTTTTTAATGGATGTGAATTTTCGTTCTAAACTGTAATAGGTGACATGAGCTTACTAGAAAATAAATCAATTATGAAAACCATTCTGTTTTTGGCTCACTATTCAGGACTTACAATAGCCTTTAACTGTATTTATGTATGTATGTATAACTTGTGCTATCCTTTTATGTTTATTTTTTGGAGTAAATGAACTCTGATGAACACTCTTACTTGTTGTATCTTCTTTGGTGTTCAGTATCATATGGATAAATTTACAGCATACATAGTGAGTGTTATCAAACAAGGGGGTCCTATAATCTTATCCCAGGCAAGTATATTTGTGAAATATCAATGAAAGCTCGCACAAATAAAACAGTTTCAGCCACTTCTAGGTGTTGTCACTACTTAAACAATTTCTACCACTTACTTTATTCTAGGTGTTGTCACTACTTGCAAATTTTTGCATACATTAACAACCATTTTGATACTATAACATAATTAGAAAAATATAAATCAATAATATTGGTATATATGGTTACCTTTCCATGACATGGAGCATGAGTTGATGTAGATGAATGCATTTGCGGTCTTATATCCTTTGGGGAACTATTAGCATCTCCATGAGATAATCCTAACAAATCTTTAATTGACTCTATATTAATTTGAGGATTGCATTGTTGTATTACGGTCTTAAAAGCATTTTGCAATCTATCAATCTTATCTTGAAACTCGTCCCTTAATGTAGAGACCTCTTCACTGTGGGCTTGTTTTAAAGCATTAATCTCTGCCATTCTCTTTAAGGAAGTTTTAGTTATGTTTCTCCCATAACAGCGTACCCTGCCTGGACACTCCTTTCCAAAAAAAAACTTTAAAAGCTTCTGTATCACTTTCCTCCTTTTCAACCATTTCTTGAAGTTGGGACTAGCATAAATTACAAAAAAAAAATATTAGCTACTATTATAGACAATGTTGGCCGATTATATTAAGCAAACATATTATATAAACAATGTTACATACAATTACTTTTCCAGTTTCTACATCCAGTTCCTTTCCTTTATTTCCATTTCGAGTTTCAACAAACATTTCTGATTGAGTGGGCTCTCTTTTTTCCTTTTCACGCTGCACAAATCAAAATAATTCCATAACAAATTATGTGAATTAAAATTCCTATTCACGAGTCAAAGAAAAGTTTTTCACGAATACTTTAATTGAACAAAGAAACATTCATACAAGGAATAATTTATTGAGAACAAAAGAAAGTTACCACTTTTTCACGAGTCAAAGCAAAGTTTTTGGGACCCATTCGATGCATCCACTTTAGTTGAGCTCTATTTCTAGTGTTATTTTCACTGATTGCCTACATTTAAATTTGACAGAATTATTATAACAAATATTACTTAATTATGGCATACATAGAAAGGTGTAAATTCACACACATACATAAAAAATTATTAATCTTACTTGTATAGTTTCCTTACTCCAATAAGCACAAGGACTCTTAAACTGGGCTATTGGCACGTTTGGCGGACGATTTTTGAGTCTCTCGGTCATGTTGGAATACTTCAAAAAATGATTCTTCTTAATTTTGTGCTTATATCTTCTCCATGCCTCTCTAACAGTGGTCTCAATCCAATCTCGTGCTTCAACCGGCAAGATAAACTTCCGCTACATAAATTATAAGATAAGACAAGATCAAGAAATGAAACACTTTTTTTTAATAATTAGACTTTCAAATTCATAGATAAAAACATACATTAGTATATCTCCAGAAACGGTTTTTATTATCATCTGGCATTCCTGACCAATTGGTGTAACGTAGAGGACAAAATGTTGAGTTCCTAGCCAATGTTCCCAAGAAGAGGCTCAAGTCAGATACTACTTTTTCACTAGGACCAATTGGCTGAAAATCCTCATTAAAGGTCACTTCTACTCGCTCTTCCAAAGTTCTTGCATGAATCTTTTTGCACAAAGTTTTCCCACGAGTTTTTCTTTGGGATGTTTCTATAAAGTAATAACACAACAACATGATATCACATGTTTGCTACCAATATGTAAATAATACATGAAATCATTATTATGAAATATGAAACTAATTACCTTTTTCTTCTTCTCTATTTGTGATTGCATCTTCTTCGTTGACTTTTTCCCGATTTTGAACACTTTCTTGTCGAGTTCCTTTTTTTGATTGATTTTGATTAGAGCTACGGTTAACGCTGCTGCCCGGTTTTTCACCATTGTTTGACTTGGTTGCATCCATTTCCTTTGACTTGTGAAGATCTACATAATCATCAATCAACATTGATGGGCATTTTGGCACCCTGTTTAGCTTTTGAGAGCATTCAGCTTTTGACATCATTGTGTCCAAAGATAGAGTAGATTTCTCTGGTTTCTTATTTTTGGAAGAAATATGTATTCTCCTTGCAACTACTTTTTCCACCTTTTGAATTTTATCTCTATTGTACTCTAGTAGATTCTCATGAATTCTTTTTTTCAGCATTCCTGGTTTCAATATAATTTTCTCGTCATAATAATGTCATGAAAAGAAATATATAAATTTAAAGTATATGCAGGGATATTAACTACCTTGTGAAACTTCTTTTTTTCCATGTGCAATAACTTCCTTAGCTTATGGTTGCAAAATCTTAGGTCTCTCTGCTTTCTTCATAGCAATGTGGTTGTCCAATTTTCCATCAACCTTTTGAATTCTTTCTCTATTCACTGTAGCTTTCACTTGAGTTCTTTTCTTTGGTGTTTCTAATTTTAGTAAAAATTCACCAAAAGATATTATGAATGATTTCATGTAATATATGCATAATAGAAAAATTTAAAAATCACTTACCTTGTACAACTTCTTTGTCACCATGTGTATGATCTTTCATTACTTTTGGTTGCGAGAGTTTGTCTATCTCCATTTTCTTTGCAATAGTCTCTTTGTCCAAATTGTGATCAACCTTTTGAACTCTTTCTTGTTGAGTTCCTTTTTTTGGTGTTTCTAATTTTTGTAAAAATTCATTAAAAAACAGTAGGAATAATATATCTAAAGGAATTCCAAAACATAACTTTAACATATATCATTTTATATAAAATCAAATGAAACAAGAAAATGATTTACCGTCCACAACTTCTATAATTTCCTGAACCCTTTCTCTATTGTTTCCCTGTAGCATCTCATGTAACTTGTCAATTTTTTCTTTCTTCGGGCAAGGCACATGGCTTAAAAGTCGTTGTTTGGAATTAAGATTACAGACAAAAGTTCTTGAATTGACAGAAAATAGTAAACAGTAATTACTCCTCATTGAAGGAGATGGGAACGAATTCCTTTGCATGCCAGTTGTTAAGCTTTGCTTTAGTAGGGTAGATACATTCTTCAAAAGCACATTCGTCGTCAGAGTATTCGACAACATTTTCTTCAGAATTTCCAATGCGAATAGGTGGCTTTCCCATGCGAGCATGCCTAACCTATATTTGAGCATTTATAGTGAAACCTAGTCCAAATTTGTCTACTTTAAATGGAATCTCGGGGAGCTGCCCCCAGGTAGTACAAATTCCATCTTCGAATGCGGCACGGGCATCCTTAAGCAAAATCATTATTGGCACAACTTTATTAGCTTTCGGTATGTCAGAGGAAATTTTGGTGGCAGCAACCATAGGAGGAACAACTTCAAAATCCTGGCATAAAGTTTCGATAAATTCACCATCAATTTCCACATGCTTGAAGGAATTGAGGTGGCTCGCCATGAATTCCTCTCCATCACAAACAGTGACAATTTTCCCTTTGACTAGGTATTTTAAATTTTGATGAAGGGTGGATGTTACTTCCCCTGCCCCATGGATCTAAGGGCGCCTAAGTAAACAGGAGTAAGCGAGATAAATGTCCATTATGTAGAAAGTAGAATTGAAAACTTGTGAACCAACTTTAATAGGGAGATCCACCTCTTCATGCACCATCCTTTTGGACCCATCAAAAGCCCTTACAATAATATCGCTTGGCTTCAATACCAGTCCTTCACAATCTAGCCGGTCCAAAGCACCTTTGGGTAACACATTTAGAGATGAGCCATTATCAAATAGGACATGAGCCGGGTTTGTTCCCTTTCATTTAATAGATACATGTAAGGCTTTGTTGTGGTTCTTTCCCATAGGAGTCAAATCAGCATCATAGAACCCTAATCCATTGTCGGCTGTTAAACTTGCTACACAGTTCTCGAACTGGCCAGCCGTGGTTTCTTGGGGTACGTGGGCTTTCTTCAAGAACTTAATTAGAGCTTGGGCATGAGCTTCCAAAAAGAGTAACAATGACAACATGTAGATCTTGGAGGGGGCTTTCCCCAGTTGCTCCACTATTTTGAAGTCACTCTTCTTTATGATTTTCAGGATTTCCTCCATCTCTCAAGTGGAGGGTTCTTCAGCATCAGTATCCTTGGTAGGTGCCTCTATCCCAGCAGGCTCACCTTCTTTCTCTTTTCCTCTAGTGTTTGCACTAGACTTGTCATTGGTTATGCAGACAGGAGTTGTTGTAGTAGTGGATGGTGAGATATCAGTGGAAAAGATCCTCCCTGTTCTTATTACTTTGCAAGAACCCGCAATATTAACAACATAACTATCCTTGATTTCTTTGATCTAGGAGTCTTGTTTTATCCCATGATAGTAAACTTCGGCACCATAGTTCCATGGAACTGCTTTGTCGGAGGAGTAAGGAATAGGCCCAGGGGAAGTGATTATTAAAGGAGTAATGGTTGGTTCATTTGAAATCCTAATAGGACCCTTTGAGGAGATCCTAAGAGGCTTGTTGGAGATAGTTATTATGGACAGGTCTTCAGCTTTGTTGGTTAAACTTTTGATGGTAGGAATCTTCTCAAATAGAATCTCGCGGCTATTTATCAGGCGTTGCACACCTTCCTTCAGCCGCTTGCTCCCATTTACTTGTTTATCATAGCAAACACAATCTTTAGAACAGCTAGGGAACACCCCTACTCTCAGCAAATATTCCTTCACAATAGTCAATCGAGATTTTGAATCCTCAATGGAGGAAACAAAAGCAATATCATCAATTGCATTAACACCTTTGCCATGATTCAGGATTGGTGCGGTTATCACATTTGGAGTTGTAGGTTGATCAAACTCAATGGTTTTGTTGTCTATTAGGTCTTAAATTATGCATTTCAAAGCCCAACAATAATCTGTTTCATGCCCAGGGCTGTTGGGATGATATGCGAACTTGGAATTTGGATTGTACTTCGGTGATGAAATGTTTGGATTGGATGGTGGATCATGCAATGTCACTAAGTTTTCCTTCAACAGATGTTACAAGGCTTGGGACAGTGACATGTTAATCCTCGTGAACTGTCTTTGAGGAACTTTGGATCATTGATTGTTGGATGATTTCCTTTGAGCAGATGGAGGGTTGGAGATTAACACAACATTAACAAAGGTAAGGCTCATGGGGGTGGAATTTTTATGTCCCAATGTATCATTATCCACTTTGTTTACCATTCTCCAAGCTCGTATGAACCTTTGAAGATAGCCTTGGTCGTCACCCTCATAGTTGAATACCAAACCTTGGATGAGTGCATCATGGGGACCATCTCTTCGTGTATACCCAAACTGTCGTAATGCAAGAAAAGGGTTATAAGTGATACCTCCCCTAATGCCAAAGAGAGGGACATTAGAGAATTCCCCACAACAGTTAATGATCGTAATATCCTCCAAGGACCGAGAACACCAATGAATATTAGAGTGCGTGAGTAACGTCATCCTTTGAGACCATGTCAAGCCTTGCTCATTCTTCAACGTTGATCGAGGTAGGTGTGAAATAAACCACCTAGACAGTAATGGAATGCAACACAAAAAAGTACCATTTTCTTCATGGTACGAGTATGGAAACAATGTAGAATGTCTCCAGGCAAAGTAGGTATGGGATTACGAGAGAGAAAAACCTTGACAGTATTCATATCTATGAGTTAGTTTAGATTGGGAAATATAACTAAACCATATATTAGAAGGGCCAAGACATCCTCAAAATCTTGAAAATCCATATCTTCCCAAAACAAACGAGCCTTCTCCAACAGAAACTTGGTTAAGAAACCCTTAACTCCACTTCTTGTCTCCCAATTCACCACAATGTCAGATCTCTTCAAATGCAAGGCTTTGGCAATAACCTCAGGTTTTGGAGTCTCCTCTAAATCGGTGAATGGTATTTGATCAAGCACAAGAACTCCTAACAATTGAGAGAATTATTCTAACGTAGGCACCAATTGGTAGTCAGGAAAGGTGAAACAATGATGTATAGGATCAAAGAATTGGAAAAGCACACACATCATTTCTTCTTGGAAGTTTGAAGTAGCCAAGTTGAGAAGTCGACCATATTTGGTGAAGGGAGAATCTCCAGGCACTCTTGATGCTAACTCTTGAAGTTGAGGATGCACTTTCACGAAGTTGACTTGGATGGTATTCCTACGAGTGGAAGCCATGTCCTTCAAAACATAACAAAGATAAATTACTAAATCCTTGAAATGGTTAGTGAGAATACTTATGATGTTATGATGTTTATGATGTCATGAATAATAATCACAAACAAAGCATACAAAGACCTTAGGTTTAAGCATGCATGGGTTTCATAGGTAAGTATCCTCTTGAAGTTTAGTTGGTTGAACCTGTCCTAGAAATTAATCGGGTTCTATGGAGTCTCAATATCATTGATCTTTCTTCATTGGGCATTGCCTCAAGCCAAAATATCGCAAAAGTATAATCTCAATGAGCGTAGTATCGAGTATCAACCAATCTTCGACTTTACACCAAAGTCGGCTATCTCACTAATTTATAATGGCCAAGTTGTTCAATTAAGGTTCTACGATCAATTATTGCTTCATGACGCCGCTCAGCGGCCCCGTATTCTCCTCGATTCAACACAAAGGATACTGGTACCAACAAATGCGTAACACTAACATAGCCATTGCTTCAACCATATCGGTCTATGTTGTACAGTTTCCACAATCTATTGCTACTTACCTAATGATGTTCCCAGATCTGGGTAGAGGATCAATACAAAACCCAAACATAGGCCCAAAATGTAAAGCAAAAACAAGTCAAACAATGAAAGCGTTTAAAGGTGATCTAGCTCTAAGGTAACCTCACTTTTAAGTAATTCCCCGGCAGAGTCGCCAGTTCTGTTATACGGTGGAAGAACTGACTTGGTTATTTTGTGTTTTATTGCAATTGTTGCGGATAGCAAGAGTCTCCACCGACTCTTCTTTTATCCAATAAGGAAAGGGTGAAAAGAACAAGAAATACCTTTGAGATATTTTCTTGAGTTCCAGGGGTAGGTTATGAAAAGGATAGGTGTTAGCACCCTTTTCATCCATAGTTATTTATGGTCTCTTAGTTGCTTGCTAGATCACTTGAAAATTTTCTTTGTTTGAAATGTGTTTTTGGTGGGTTTTTAAAAGTATTTTGAAAAGCGCCTTCGCTTAGGCAAACTTTGTAATGATTCTCGTCTCTATAAGAATGCATACAAAGTGTTGGACTTTTGAAAAATATTTCATTTGAAAGTGTTTATGTGTTTGAAAAGATGTTTTTTTTTGAAGATGGATTATGAGCAAGCAACTAAGAATGTTCTACCTACTCAAAAGTCTTTTGTTCATTTCTCTCTTCCTTTGACATTGCTATCTTACCATTTATTAGTAAGAAGCTCTACCTTTGGATGTAAAGGGACGGGCGCGGGTCATCGTATAGTCATGGATATCAATGTTTTGAGATACCTTAGCATTTTTATTAAGGGACTAAGATAATTTGTTAGGCAACATTCGAAGCATCATCGAGGGACTATGATCTTGTATTTTCGATTGTTTTTGCTAAGATGTTTCACATGCATAACATGATAGTTTTCTCAAGGTAACAAGTGGAGTTAACCCTAGAGGTGCAAGTGTGAAAGTGTTTGTATTTCATGCTTGGTTTTTCTTGATATTAGGGTTATCTAAGGATTGATTTTAGTCTTTCCATACACACCCTAGTTACTAGCAATTATATGAAAAAACGATAAATTTGCGGAAATTAAAATCTTACGCTATTACATCATTAGGGGGATGGGGTACAATATACCAATGGGGATGGATATGAGCTTAAAAATTACAACCATATTGAATAGCTATGAAGAAAATATGTAAAATAT